GAGATATCTGTAATACTATCATTAATAAAAAATATATTTAAAAAAAAGAATTTAAATAATTTAGCCTGTAAAAAAATAAGATAAAATAAAATAATTTTCCATTATGAAACTACATATTAACCATATTGAAAAGTCCAAAAAAGAAAAACTATTCTGAATCCCACCAGCCAGAGATAATGATTAACACTTGCAATATGTCCTTCCAATTTATCTATGCCTTTTTAAAAATTAGAAGCAGCCGATTATTTGAGAAGATCAATAAAATTGGGGATAAATCTCTAGCCAGAATAAGCAAGAAAAAAAAAAGAGAGAAAACAATGGGAAATAAATGATGGGCCATCACTATTGGTCCTATGAATATTAAAAGAATATTGTGAACAACATTAGTTGTCCACAAATTTTATAACTTTAGATGAAATGGATGAATTACTTAAAAGACACAGTATACCAGATTTCACACAAGAAAAAATAAAGAACCTCAACAGGTCATTTCTATTAAAAATTTAAAATCAATAATTAATAACCTCTCAAAACAGAAAGCTCTAGCCCAGATGGTTTCTCTACAATCTGCTCCAGAAAAAGGAAATATTTCCTCACACACTCTGATTCCATCATTACCCAAATAGCAAAACCTGTCTGAATAGATACCTCACCCAAGACATATGCAGAGAACAAATTAAACAAATGAAAAGGCACTCAACATCATATTCCATTAGCGAATTGCAAATTAAGATAAGAAACCACTACACACCTAACAGTATGGTTAAAGTCCAATACACTGACATCAAATGCTGGTGAGGACATAGAGCTAAAAGAAATGGTGGGAACGCAAAATATTATGGCCACTTTTGAAGATAGTCTGGCAGTTTCTTCCATTTAATTTTATAAAAAATTTAGAGTAATATAAAAGAATCCTTTGCTATCCAGTTTACTTGGTTCCTGAGTTTTGAAGTAAGAAGGGTTCAGATGTCCAATGATTTAGAAACATACACTAATCTATATGATTCCTGCATACAGATATGTATAGTGAGAAATACCTATACTTGTAGTTCTAGCATCTAAAAATGAAACCATTTTTAACAATGGTAACAACAAAGAAAGCACACTTATTTAAAAGAGGATAAGAAGTTGGAGCTGTAATAGATAGCTTCTACATGGCTTTTCAAAAGGCTCTACACTTTGATAATACTGTTTAAATTTTCCTCAAAAACATAGCTGTCTTCATCCTTACACAGATACAGATTTATTACAATAACGAAATTCATGCACGGGTACAGTCCCTAGGCCTGGCTGGCGATCGAAGCACAAGTGCCTGGCATGGAAGGGCAGGTCACAACTGACCTCTGGGCCCTGGGCAACCCCTGAGCCCCGCGCGCCCCCCTCCACCTGAGTCACGGTGCCCAAGTTCCCATGGGGAGATGAGGTGAGCGTGGCCAGAGGACGTGGGCCGGGGCGCAGTGTGGGCCGGGGCGCAGTGTGGGCCTTGGGGCTGCCCAGCAGCGCTATACAAAAGCCAGGCGGGCAGCGCTCTCTCCTGGCCAGCTTTGCAGACCGGCTCCTGCACAAACCCATGGGGAGCCCGATCGGCCCCTGCAGTCCCAGCAGCTGCAGCCCAGCTCACCCACAGGAGGCTGTGCAGGTGTGGGGCGGGATCCTCACAGGCACCCTGCACCTGAACGCCTGCCGCCAGCACCTCGTCGCCAAAGCCCACCATGTTCTGCATCGCCCCCTGGTGGTCAGCACATGTCATACTGAGTGGTAGAACTCCCCATGGAATGACTGCCCGAGGGGACAATTTGCATATTAGGCTTTTATTACATAGGATTAGTGCAATCATACTTAAGCAACAACTAATTAAAAGTCTTTTTAATTAAAAAAAAAAGCAAGGAAAGAGAATTTTCCTATGAAATTTGGAAAAAAGCGAGAACATTAGGGATGAGAAAGGGCAATGAAATTATGTGCCTATATAAGAGAAAAAGATTGAGTTCCAAAGCTTAGCTAATTTTATAAATACCCTACCAAGGGGGGAAAAAAAGGCACAGAAGTGGAAATAAAGTACAAAATCTATTGGAATTAAAAAATAAATGGAATAAGATATACAGCAGTGGGGTATGAAATCAATTAATAAGTTAAATTTGTCTTAATAGATCCAAAATGTAATATTGTGCAGCCATTTAGAATAATGACCAAGAACTTTATATACCCAAATGATATACTAGTGAACAAACATAGTAGGTACAAAAACTATATACTATGTGGACAGTATATACTACTTTAATAAAAAAATAAATACATACAAACATATTTTAAACTTAATTATAAAAATGTTAAAGGTTATCTGTGTGTCATGGACTAATTTTTTACTTTTGGGCTCATTTATATTTTCTAATTTCCTAAAATGAACATGTGTTATTTGTACACAAAAGAAATAATCGTCAAAAAATAAAATACATGTATTTATTTCCTTAGGACATTCTGTCCTTTGTATAATAACTAATTTCTGAAGGAACATAAATTCATACATGTATTCAGAACTATATATGTAAATAAATGAAAGCAAGAGGCTAAAAATCACAAGCTGGACTTTGGGTTATCAGAAAGCAATTAAGTATAATGCTGCCTTCTGACATGAATGAAAAACAGCAGGCTGAAGAAATACCAAGCATAGGTTAAACTCTTATTTCTTAGATTTTTCCTTTATTTATAAGCTCAGAGAAAAAGGTGAAACTATAGTCAGTTTTGCTTATAACAGGTAAAAATATTTAATTCAGTGTTAAGCTATGACACAGTGAGAGATGTTGAAAGTTTAAAAGAGAAGATAAAGATCTTAGCCATAAGAATGATAAAATATTGGAATGGGAATATTTTGGAATCTTGATCCTTATCGTCATGTTCTGCATGGATATCATTCATCTGATTGAAGATGGGTCCTTCAGTCCGCAGGCCGACGCTCTATCCACTGAGCCAAACCGGTCAGGGCGGTAAAAATATTTAATTCAGTGTTAAGCTATGACACAGTGAGAGATGTTGAAAGTTTAAAAGAGAAGATAAAGATCTTAGCCATAAGAATGATAAAATATTGGAATGGGAATATTTTGGAATCTTGATCCTTATCGTCATGTTCTGCATGGATATCATTCATCTGATTGAAGATGGGTGGTTGGGACAAATGATCTTGCATAAACACTGTCAGCTCTATGATTCATAGCTCAATCATCCTCCTCAACATTAACAAAGAATGAGCAGAAAACTTCTGACTACACCAACTATCACTGTAACTACCTCAACTCAAAAGACTTACGTACACAGAGAGAAGGGCCTTTAAGTCTACTAGATAGGACTTTGGTCTTAATAGAAAGGAAGGTACCAGAGTAGGGCAGAAGGTAAAAGAGTTACCATTGAAAAGTGACAAGATACAGAAAAATTCAATCAAAATCAAACTAGAAAATCTATTCTAGCATTACCCATTTTGTAAATGAACTGTACTATAAAATTTCACATGCCTACAAAAATGTTCTCTCCTAGTGCTCTAGGTTTCCAAGCAAGCAGTAAAACAGCTAAACTATGCTACCACAGCAATTATAATGCAGATCAAAATCTTATACCAGGATTTATGCAACAACATTTGGAAGGGTGGGTTATAATAGAGGAGGCTACACATAAATAGAAAACTCTGAACACATATGGCAGGATTTCTCAGAGTGACAATCCGAGTTCTAGAATGCCTATATCATAAGCAACAGGCAACTGAACCCTTTTAAGTCCTCTTTAAGAAGAAGTCAGGGAATGTAATGTATAAAATGACAAAAATCAAATTTTACCACTGAGCCAAAACAAACTTCATTTACAATTTTGAATCAGTATCTAAATTTTTTAAAGATTATAACATCATGTAATAATAGGAATATTTGGATCACTTTATGTATTCATTTAAAATATTTTTAATTAAACAATAACACAAATTCATGTTTAGTATAAAGTTAGTGTAGAACAACCATTTCTCATTTGTTAAATGGGACAGAAGGTTAAAATTTTGAAATAAAATGTTACCTTCAAATAAACTGAGGTGTCTTCGTAGCCGTGGTCCATAAAGCCCTTCTAAAATACTCTCAAAACCTGTATTAAAGAAAGAAAGAATATTAACTATGAAAGAAAGCTTAATTTTACAATAACAAAAAACCATAAACTCTATAGGAATCAGCAAATTATAAACTTAACATACTATAAGGTGTCATTTTTCCTTTAGTTGAATTAATTTGAACTAGGAAATACATAACATAATAAACAGTCATATAATAACTATCAGAAATTACATGATTATAAAGAAATATTCAAATGTAAATGTTCACTACTAAAACAGGTAAACATTTTTGTCACTTAGAAATATTCCCAGGTTAAATTATTACGGGCAGATTTCTTTTGTAATCATTTTGTAGAGAGGAGAAGAATAACTAGAAAAGATGTATAATTCTGTTTATATTTGTTAACAACATATGTTAGCTTATAAAAAGTAGCATCTTGAACCTCAATTACCAAAATGAGTAAATGAGTGCCAGTGGGGAGAAATTCTTGCTATGAAAAGTATGATGGCCCCGGCCAGGTGGCTCAGTTGGTTGGAACATCGTCCAGGGCACCAAAAAGGCTGCAGTTCAATTCCAGGTTGGGACACATAACTAGGCTGTGGGTTTGATCCCTGTAGGGGCGCCTATGTGGGGCAATCAAGTGATGTTTCTCTTTCACATCGATGTTCATATACTAGTGAACAAACATAGTAGGTACAAAAGCTATATACTATATGGACAGTATATGCTACTTTAATAAAACAATAAATACATACAAACATATTTTAAACTTAATTATAAAAATGTTAAAGGTTATCTTGTGGGTCATGACTAATTTTTTACTTTTGGGCTCATTTATATTTTCTAATTTCCTAAAATGAACATGTGTTATTTGTACACAAAAGAAATAACTGTCAAAAAATAAAATACATGTATTTATTTCCTTAGAACATTCTGCCCTTTGTATAATAACTAATTTCTGAAGGAATATAAATTCATACATATATTCAGAACTATATATGTAAATAAATGAAAGCAAGAGGCTAAAAATCACAAGCTGGACTTTGGGTTATCAGAAAGCAATTAAGTATAATGCTGCCTTCTGACATGAATGAAAAACAGCAGGCTGAAGAAATACCAAGCATAGGTTAAACTCTTATTTCTTAGATTTTTCCTTTATTTATAAGCTCAGAGAAAAAGGTGAAACTATAGTCAGTTTTGCTTATAACAGGTAAAAATATTTAATTCAGTGTTAAGCTATGACACAGTGAGAGATGTTGAAAGTTTAAAAGATAGAAGATAAAGATCTTAGCCATAAGAATAAAATATTGGAATGGGTATATTTTGGGATCTTGATCCTTATTGTCATGTTCTGCATGGATATCATTCATCTGATTGAAGATGGGTGGTTGGGACAAATGATCTTGCATAAACACTGTCAGCTCTATGATTCATAGCTCAATCATCCTCCTCAACATTAACAAAGAATGAGCAGAAAACTTCTGACTACACCAACTATCACTGTAACTACCTCAACTCAAAAGACTTACGTACACAGAGAGAAGGGCCTTTAAGTCTACTAGATAGGACTTTGGTCTTAATAGAAAGAAAGGTACCAGAGTAGGGCAGAAGGTAAAAGAGTTAGCATTGAAAAGTGACAAGATACAGAAATAATTCAATCAAAATCAAACTAGAAACTCTATTCTAGCATTACCCATTTTGTAAATGAACTGTACTATAAACTTTCACATGCCTACAAAAATGTTCTCTCCTAGTGCTCTAGGTTTCCAAGCAAGCAGTAAACCTATGACACCAGGGGGTGTGTGCAGAACATGTGGCTGTCAGCTGCGGCGGGATGGTGGAGCAGGTGAGTAGGGGCGCCAGACCAAGGCAGAGGGCGAGCCTCTGGTGGTTACTGAAAATTCTTTACTCCCGTGCTCCATGGTCCCGCCCGGCGCTTGTACCCACTACTGGCGACAGAGCTGTCGCTCACAACCACTGCCAGCGCCCAGCGCAGGTCCCGATCGCTCGGTGCCATCAGCAGGAGTGAGTGGCAGCTGCCGGCACCAATCGCCCCTCAGGGCTTCTCCACCTCCCCCTTGAGTTCTAGAATGCCTATATCATAAGCAACAGGCACCGGAACCCTTTTAAGTCCTCTTTAAATTCCCTTTACAGGGAATGTAATGTATAAAATGACAAAAATCAAATTTTACCATTGAGCCAAAACAAACTTCATTTACAATTTTGATCAGTATACTAAATTTTTTTGCCATTTGCACCTGCTGCTGGCGCCGGCCCCAACTGCTTAGTGCCTTCAGCAGGTATGACCAGGGCCAGTGCCATCAGCGTGTGGGAGTGGTGGCGGTGGGAGTGGGGCTGTGGGCAGACAGGTGACCGGGGGCCACGGCAGGAGGGGCCTAGTGGGGGCGCAGAGAATGGGCTGAGACCCGCCCCTGTGCCTACCACAGCCTCATGGTCCACAGTTCCTTTCAGGTGCATGCACTTGTGCACTGGACCCCTAGTAACTTATGATGTCTTAGATTTGACAAAGTAGTTATCATAGAACTTAGGAAATATGCACTTAATAAAATCTTTGTGAAATGATTCAGTACTAGTTCTCATGAGTGGACATTTCAGGCAGAAAAGTGAATGAACTAGAACCAGAGAGCACTTTCAAGAACACTATCGAAAAGACTTTCCTACTGGGTAAAACCTCAGAGCGAACAAGCCCCAAATCTCTTTCTATTACTAAGATAATCTAATTCTATTTTGCTGTGATCATGGACTCCAAAAATTAACAATGCAAACAAACTATTTTAGGATGTCATTATATTGTATATCGAACAAAATATATAGCCTCATCCTATATAAGTTTACTAAATTGGATTTCTCATAAATTGCTGGTGGAATGCAAAATGACACAACCATTTTAGAAAAGTTTGACAATTTCTAGTAATTTAAACACGCACTACCACACGATCAAACAATCCCACTCCTAAATATTTACCAAACAGAAATGGAAACTACACTTACACAAACCCCTGTACACAGGTATTCAGAGTTTCATTCACATTTACTCCAAACTGGAAACAATCCAATGTCCTTCAACCATTGAATGAAAAAACAAACTGGTACAATGGAATACTACATAGCCAAAGGAACAAACTACTGATACATGCAACACAACATGGATATATTTCAAATGCATATTGTTAAATGAAAAAAAAAACAGACTCAGCATATACTTTATGATTTCACTTATTATTCTCTGGGAAAAGCATAACTACAGAGTCAGAGCAGACCAATGGTTGCTAGTGCCATGTTACCTAGGTAAGGAAATAACTATGAAGAATCACAAAACAACTTTTAGGGATAATGGAACTGTTTTATATCTTGTTTATTGAGAAGTTGGTTATCCAACTGTTTGTGTGTTAAAACTCATAGAACTGTATTCTGTAAATTAAATCTTAATAAACCTTGCTAAATTTTTTTTTTTTTAAAGGAAAGGCATAACAGTTTCTGCAGCAGAGAAAGGTGAAGGTGAGTAGATGACTTGATGGGTTCATCCTTAAAAAAGAAACAAGCAAACTAAAGTCAATCATGAATAATGGTCAGGGTTTAGAGTAAAGATGGAAAACTAAAACTCAGGTGTCAAAGTCATCAGTAAATTTAATAGGTAAAGGTAATTAGACAAATGAAAACATGCTAAAAGTCACTAATCATCCGAGAGATGCAAATCAAAATGACAATGCAGTCCCATCTCATACCTGTCAGAATGGCTATCATCAACAAATCAACAAATGACAAGTGCTGGCGAGGATGTGAAGAAAAAGGAACCCCTGTGCACTGCTGGTGGGAATGCAGATTGGTGCAGCCACTGTGGAGAACAGTATGGAGTTTCCTCAAAAAACCTAAAAGTGGAACTCCCATTTGACCCAGTAATCCCATTTCTAGGAATATATCCCAAGAAACTAGAAACACTGATCAGAAAGGATATATGCACCCCTATGTTCATAGAAGCATAATTTACCATAGCTAAGATTTGGAAACAGCTTAAGTGCCCATCAGCAGATGAATGGATTAAAAAACTGTGGTACATCTACACAATGGAATACTATGCTGCTGTAAAAACGAAGGCATTCTTACCATTTGCAACAGCATGGATGGAACTGGAGAGCATTATGCTAAGCGAAATAAGCCTGTCAGAGAAAGATAAATACCACATGATTTCACTCATTTGTGGAATACAATGAACAACATAAACTGATGAACAAAAACATCCAGAGACAGAGAAGCATGGATCAGACTGTCAAACCTCAGAGGGAAGGTAGGGGAGCGCGGAGAGGGGGAGAGATCAACCAAAGGACTTGTATGCATGCATATAAGCCTAACCAATGGACACAGACACCAGGGGGGTGAGAGCATGAGGGGGGTGGGGTGGGGGGACAATGGGAGGATAAGAACCCATATGTAATACCTTAATCAATAAAGAAAAAAAAGTAAAAAAACAAAACCATTTAGCTCTACTTAAAAAAAAAAAGAAAGGTAATTACAGTGGGGCCTTGACTTACGAGTTTAATTTGTTCCGTGACGGAGCTCGTAACTCAAATTACTCGTATGTCAAATCAATTTTCACCACCACAATGAATTGAATGCTGGGCTGATGTTATGGCGTTCACTGTGACGTTCGCTGCGCCAACTAGCGGTGGGGTATCTGAAGCTGGCTTGTAACCCGAATTTTAGCTCGCAACTCAAAGCAAAAAATCAGCCGAGAGACGGCTCGTATCTCGAAAAACTCGTTAGTCAGGACACTGGTAAGTCAAGGCCCCACTGTAGCTGTCTACATGCTCATAGCATACTAAAAATTCCACGATTCTCAAAAATAAAGAGCTTTTTGTATCGGATAGAACAATGATTTGAAAGCAAAATCATGATACAGACTACACAGAAAAACTATATTTGGGAAAAAACGCTTTTGAGACTAAAAGGATAAAAAGACAAATATAAGGAAAATGTGATATCTTATCTAATAAAGAAGGAATATGCAAATTGACTGTCATGCCATAATGATCAAGATGGCTGCGCCCACAGGGGAGGCAGGGATTCAGTAACGCAAGATGGCTGCTCACACAGTGGAGGCCGAGTTCCCATAACGAGCCTTAATGAGCAATCAGCAGGGACCTGAGGCTGCGTCCCCCGGCTGGTGGGGCTTGACAGGGGACCTCAGGCTGCTCCCCTTGCCCCAGCACCAGGCTGGGGGACTTCAGGCCACACACCCCCGCCCCACCTCTGGGCCAGGAGATCTGAGGCCGCGCCCCTCGCCTGGCAGTGCTTGATGGGGGAACTCAGGGCGCAGCCCCCTGGACCCGGTTCTGGGCTGAGGCTGCAACCCGCGCCCCAGACTGAGGACCTGAGCATGCGCCCCTGCCCCAGCACCAGGCCGAGGGACCTGAGGCTGTGCCCCCCGGCATGCGG